CGCCGCCCTAGCAACCAACGTCGTCGGCGTCGGCCCCAGCAACTTCATGTATTTGTGATGATTTAATCGAAGGATAACCACTTGCTCGTCAATGGAATGTGAAAAGTTTAGTTTTTGGCGAAGATTGTTTTGGTTTTTTCTTTTTTCTGTCCTTTGATACTTAAATCTCATTACTGCAGCAGCTTTTTGAACATGGGCAAGTCCAGCAAGAAATCTGATACTAAGGTAGTGATAATATGTATAATATCTTAATATTTATGTTCAATTTGTTGGCTTTTTCTTCATATTTTTGGATTTTGTTAATGATTTTGGATTTGTTGCAAATTTTGTAGGTTGCTGTGGCTACTCCTGTCACAGATGTGAAGGCATCTAAAAAGGGTATGATTTTGTTCCTTAGTTGCTTATGGTTAGTTGGTATTAGTGATAACTGTTTATTTAAAATTTTACTTATAAAAAGATGATTTCTTTATTGTAACAGGGGCTAAGAGGGATGCAGGGGATGCTTTGGAGAAATTGGTGAGCGCCAAGAAGCAGAGGAAGGAAGTAGAGGTTAAGAAGAAGGTCCCTCCACCAAAGAAAGAAGAGTCCAGTTCTTCAGAAGAAGAAGATTCTTCGTCCGAGGATGAGGTAGCTAATTGCATTAGTTTACATATTGTTGCTTCATTGAGTATACATGGCTGGAAATTGGTTGAAGTTTTAGCCCAGCTAATGTCTTTTGTGGTTCATTTTCTTATAGGTTAGGTAAATTTCAAATTGCAACATAAGAAAAATCTATTGCCTCTACTTTTCTATTTGTTATTTCAAAAAGTTTTATGTGTTGAAGTTTAAGTAATCCTAGTGTAAGCCAAAGTTTGAATCGAGATGAATTTTGTAGACGTTCGACTCATCTTTTTCATAGCTCTCGTACAAGGTTGGATGAGAGGAAGAGAGAGAGAGAAGAGAGAAGAGAGGATTCACTGGACTCGAGGATGATAGAATAGGAGTGGAAAGGATCAGGGTAAGGTAGTGGGATGAGAGGTTTCAGTGGTTGTGATAATAGAAGATGTTGCTGCAGTCGTCGATTAAGTTATGGTTGACAATTTAGTACTTTCTAAACTAAATAAATCAACTTTATTAATTATAATCAGTTAAGGCCTACCTCTCATACGATCTCGACTATCGTATTCTTTGTTTTCATTTCATGCCACCTTATTTAGTACTTGTATGATGCTGTCACTACAAAGAAACCTCTCTAGGAAGTCCATATCAAGTGATAGCTATTTCAAGAGTGATACTGAAGAAGATGCAAGACTTGGTTCTCTTGAGACTCCCCAGAATCACAATGTCCCTGTTGAATATCATTTATAGAGATATATTGGTTTCTTTTATATGTGCGGAAGATCAGCTCGAAAAAGAAAGCACAATGTTTAAAAAGAAGGTCGAATTAAGAGATACAATGACAATGAAAACAATGGTAGTAGGTTTATGTACTGCATATTTTTTTTCTCTATGGCTCCAGACTTGTGAGGCCTTTGAAACTTAAGTCCTTACTGGCACTGATAGTTCTCGTTTTGTATGATGTTAAATTTGTTGCTTTTAGAATGTTGTTACTGGAGTCTGTCAAGTGTATACACTTTGAAGGGTTTTAATCTTTAGTTTCTACTGGCATACAGAAACCAGCTGTTTCCAAGAAGGTACCTGCTGCAGCAGTGAAGAAGTCAGACTCTAGTGACGAGTCTTCTGAGTCTGAGAGTGACAGTTCTGAGGATGACAAGGTAAGAGGAACAGGGGATCTTTGTTCTTTAAAGTGCTTGTATTTTATCCAATGTGAAAATGGAGTATATGTTGTTTAACCAAGTTGATGCATATTTCTTTTTTTCTCTAGGGAAGTGTTGTTTCTGATTAGGAACCAGAGTCGTACATTATTTATTTGGGAAGTCAAGTTGACGAATACATCACTTTGTAATCCTCAGTATTCTGTTTTAGATGTTTTCCATGAGTTATCTCTTTTTCTTTCCCTTTCCCTTAGCTATTTCTAAGAACAAGAATTGCTTATACAACAAGATATAAGGAAAAACTCGAATCTAGTTGAAATTCTGATAGTGATTCAGAAGATGATGCAAGCTTGCTGTTTTATGTTTTTCTTCGATGGTGCTGTAGTTTATTTTTCATTAACCTTTTTAAGTTAGAAGCGATTATTAGCATATTATATCTGATGTCTTATAATATTTGTCACCTAATGCTCAATGATCATGCAGGTTGCCAAACCTGTACCAATTTCAAAGGCCACCGTGACTGCCTCAAAAGTGGTTCCAAGCAATGGTTTAAAAAAGAAAGAAGCCAGCGAGAGCGAATCAAGTGATAGCTCAGAAAGTGAATCTGATTCAGACTCTGGCAAGAAAAAGGTGAGTGTCATGCATACTGTGATGAAGTGCAACCACACATTGAGTTCTAAAGAACTGTGATGAAGTGCAACCACACATTGAGTAAGTCACTAAAGTTTAAGATTCTACTAATAAATTTACTATAGTTAGTCAACGTTAATCATATTTATGATATTTTAATGTAGGGACTACAATAAATTTGTGAGAGAACCCACAAATCACTATGATGATAAAGATTGGGATAAGAACTTTATCGAGTGGTTTCAAGCTCTAGTACGTACATATCTTGCCTTATTTTTTTAATATATTGATTGGTTCATTTTATTACATGTTCCATGACTTGATCATATTTTGGTTTTGTTTAGGTTTATCAGAGTTATCGAGAAGATGATGACTTACTTTCATTATCTCGTGGTCCAAGTAAGATTGTTAAATGTTTTACTGGATTTGTCATAAATGGACATCGATTTCATACAGAAAGTCGAGATAATTGTTTGTCAACTCAAAGTAGTGGGGTTGCAGTTGTTGGTGATGCTGGTGATGGTGGAGATATAGATTATTATGGTGCTTTGGTTGAAGTTGTCGAATTAGAGTATCCTGGTAGAAGAAAGGTTGTTCTATTTCGTTGTAAATGGTGGGATGTGCACGACAAAGGAAAAATCCACCTCGTGGTAATAATAAGTGTCTAAAGTTGAATAATTTGTCACATGGGGAGAAAAAGATCATTATTTTTTATCAGAATAGAGCTATTGAGCCAGAATTTTCACGATATCTTGGAATTATTATTCGTGATAGAAATATTTGCCCAGTAGCTGTTGAGAATTGGGCCAAAATACCACAACAAAATAAAGATCATATGTGGGCATCCATTAAGGTACATTGAAAATTAATTTTTTGCATTTGGTTTTTAATTCTTATAAATTAAATTTTGATTCAAATTTGATATAGGATAAATTTGATGCTGAGGACATGGAGCAAAAGAGAGAGTTAGTAATGAGACACTTGTGCGATTTGTGGAATAAGTGGCGTGGTGACATGCACAGGAAATATGTGAAAGAAAATTCATTACAAATTGCACTTAGAAATAAACCTACAGAAGTGAGTGTTGATGACTGGGATTGGCTAGTTAAGGAACATTATTTTTCTTCAAAATTTCAGGTATTAATCTCCTAATTTTATTAATTTTGTTCCATGTATATTGTTGGATTGTTGAAATTATCTTTTAATCTTGATGTATAGAAAGCAAGCCAACAAAATACACTTAACAGAGGCAAAAGAAAGATGCTCCACCACACGGGCAGCAAACCCTTCAGACAAATTGCGTGGGAATTGGTAACTAATTTCCTATTTATTTAAAACTACTTTGTTTTTTAGTTTGATATTGTACTCATTTTTATTTAATATTTGAATAAGGGTGGCAAGTCAGGAAATCCACCTGATGTGGCAAAAATGTTTCATGAAACTCGAAAGAAAGCTAATGAAACACTAGAAAATGGGGATCAAGATAAATATGTAAGTAGAATATGTGTTTAAGTTTGATAATGATGCATTATATAGTACTAACATATGAATTTAATTTTTATAGGATGAAATTGTTCAAGTCAAACAAGCAAACCCTTCACTTTCTGACATTGAGATAGTTGAGAAAATCTGGGGGAAGCAATCTCACGGTCACATTATTGTATTTGGTGGCGGGACTACTTTAAAAGATTTAAGAGGACCGCTCCCTAGTCGATCTGATCTGGAAGCACGTGTTATAGAAGAAAAGAGAAAGAACCAGATGCTTCAACAACGCTTAGATGAGCAGGAGCAACAACAACAAAGGATGTCTGAGTTGGAGTCACAAGTGAAAGCTATGCAAGAACTTTTTTTTAGGCAATCACCTTCATTGACTCCTCAAACTCGAGAACATGTGCAGGACTAGGTAATTATTTTTTGTAAAATCTCTTATATACTTTTATGATTGACTACTTGCACTAAAAAAATATAATTTTTTACTTAATAAGATAATATATGCTTAATTGATATTTCTTAATTATGTGATTTTTTTTTAAATTTTTCAGGCTATCCATGCAAGATTAGGAGGGGGTAGCTCGAGTCTTCTTTTGACGATGATTAGAGGTGTCAGAGATGTGTCTTCCCCAAACTTTTATTTTAATTTGTTTTAGATAGTTTCATGTATTTTTCTTTGGATCAATTAGGATATTAACTCTTATTATTAGTATTGAATATTTGAGGATGGTGGAATTTTATTTATTGATGTTATTAATGAATGGAATTTTTATTTTACCTCTTATTCATTATTGGGTATTTTTAATATGTTTTTGTTGTGAATCTTAGTGTCTCGTTGAGAATAATATGATAGTTGCTTATGAATGGAAAATTTATTATTAATGTATATTAGAAATTTGTAGTCTACAATGACGGTTTTATAAACCGTATTTTGTTCATCAACGAAGGGAAAGCACCGTCGTTGATGAGTTACTAATTACCCATTATGTGGACTTTTACGACGGTATCCAACCGTTATTAATTAGTCTTCAACAACGGAAAAATATCCCCGTAGCTAATGGTAACGACGGGAAAATATCCCGTCACTGATGGTAACGACGGGAAACTATCCCGTCACTCATGGTAACGACGGGAAAATATCCCCGTTACTGATGGTAACGACGGTGATAATTACCGTCGTAAATATTAATGACGGTAATATGTTCCGTCGTTATAGACTCTATAACGACGGGTAGTATATCCCTTCGTGACCCTTTAGCGAAGAGGGCTTCAACGACGGGTGACGAAGGGATTTTTCCCCGTCGTTATCATACAATAACGAAGGTTTTCAGCTCTTTAACGAAGGGAAATCCCTTCGTTAAAGATGTAATTTCTTGTAGTGAACAAAGAAAACAATATTTTCACAAATACAATAGAAAATGAAAATATGAGTATGTATATGAAAATATATTTGTTTCATATCTAAGTAGTTAAACCAAATCACAATAATAAATATAAAATATGTAATTTCATATTTATAAACATGAAAACCCAAAACCATGCATGTATATATATAACTATATATATACATAGAAACCAAATACGTGTGTGTATATGATATTGAGCTTAAAGTACTTAACACACATAATATAAACTCCTAAACTAAATTACCAAGCTTGATGAAGGTCTTCAATAAGCTCAACTTGGTACACTTGCGGATGAAGCTTGAACTAGGATCTTCAACTTGAATTTGCATAGCTTCAACCACTATTCTTCCAACCTCCATTGGAGATGATTGTGTAGGCGCAATTTCATCCATCCTCTAACTTATTATTTGTCTACAATAAATAAGAATACACAACAACTAGACAAACAACGTTAGTCGTAAATTGTTTGTTAAACATCATCAAAACAAGAAGGCCAACAAGTGAATCTAAGGTGACACCCTAGGCTCCCATCTAAGGATGCGGCCTAAAATCACATCATTCCCTAATTTTTTTTGCGATTCGCTATGCTGAACTTGATCTACATGTTCTTAGATCCAAACACACTAATTTTGGGATAAACTCGTCGTGTTTTGCCCCTCCATCCACTCGCCGTAATTTTAACAGTTTCGAATGAATAGAACCTTTTGCACGGCTCAACAAAGGGACAAAACAGTACGGGTTTACCCTAAAATTGATGTGTTTGAGTCTAAAAACGTGTAGATCAAGTTCAAAGGAGTGGATCACAAAAAAAAGTTAGGGAATAACGTGATTTTAGGCCGCGTCCTTAGGTGGGAGCGTAGGGTGTCACCTTAGATTCACTTTTAAAAATATATTATATATACATATATTATATATGTATACACATATTATATATAAAAAATAAAACCGGGCCGGACCGGGCTCGGGCCAGGGGCCGCCTCAGGCCCGGGTTAGTGGGCCAAATGGACACCCCTGCATGCATCGCTCTCGGGTAAAAAAGCTTGTTCAAAATATGAATTTTTAATCACTAACAATTTTTTAAAAACTTGCACTCATCCGGCTTATTACGTACTCAAAACAAATATATCCAAATTTAAATTTTAATAAAGGATTGCAATTGAAGTAGACTCTTCATTTTCTATCTATCATCCAAATTTAAATTTTAATAAAGGATTGCAATTGAAGTAGACTCTTCATTGTCTGTCTATCATCCAAATTTAAATTTTAATGAAGGATTTCAATTGAAGTAGACTCTTCATTGTCTGTCTATTATGGTGAAGAAGATCAAAATCCAAAAAGAAATTTAAGAAATAATTGTTAAATCGAAACATAATACCTACAAATATTATGTCAATAAGACAAACATGGTAAACAAAAAATTTTATTTAGGAGGTTGATATTGTTCTCATGATACTTTTTTAACATTAAAATGCTTAAATCACTAGTAGAAAAACGATCAACCTAGACGGAAATTTCCGTCTAGGTTGATCGAAATTTCGTCTAGATTAGATCATCTAGACGGAATTACGTTTAGTTTGGGTGGTTTATTTTGCTTCCGTCTAGATTGCCGCAAACTAGACGGAATTCCGTCTAGGTTAATCAATCTAGACGGAAGTCAACCTAGACGGAATAAAAATTTCGTCTAGGTTGACAGACCAGACGGAATTCCGTCTGGTCTGTCAACCTAGACGGAAATTCCGTCTAGGTTGACCGACCAGACAAAATTTCGTCTGGTTGACAGACCAGACGGAAATTCCGTCTGGTCTGTCAACCTAGATGGAATTTCCGTCTAGGTTGGTTTATTACAACCTAGACGGAAATTCCGGTCTAGGTTGATTCAATCTAGACGGAATTCCGTCTAGATTGCTTTTTTTCAGCGAAAAAATTAATTAAAATTTGTATTTCCCTGTACACTTACATTAATATTTGAATACATCCAGAAAATACTGTACACGCCACATTCAACCATCCAATCATAATCAAAATTCATAACAATTCCATTCAAAAACATCTATATAACCAAATCCAACACATTATACAAATCCAACCATCCACTTCAAAATATACATCAATCAGTTCCGTCTAAAACACATCCAACAACATATATACTAACAATGCACATGACTAAGATATGATACATGACATGAATAAATGTAGTGTTATAACAAATAAAACTGTTTATTGCATTAAAAATAAAAAAACCTCATCCATCGTCGTCGGCGGGGGTATCTCTATCCCGATTACGAGAACGGGTGCTGCTCCCTCCAATATCTCCACTCTGAATGTTTAATTGAATAATCATTATATGGTGTTTGATAACATATTAGATAAAAATGAATTTATAAATATAAGAAAAAATAAGGTACCTGAACACTACTCTGTCTAGCGCCGGAATTATCGCCAATCGAGCTAATTATCCGTATGACACCACCATACACGTTATAAGGAATAACACTACCTAAATATTGTATAACATACCCCATAAGATCGTCCATCGAGTTCGCCGTCAGCGCAACTCTAGTCATCTCATTAGTCACCTGAATATGTAGCTCCGAGATCGTCCATCGAGTTCGCCGTCAGCGCAACTCTAGTCATCTCATTAGTCACCTGAATATGTAGCTCCGGGTCAATTTTGTCAATCAGATACGCAGAGATACGTGCGACAAATGGCATAGCCTGGAAACTACTTGTGGCTGCTCTCGTCGATGTAGATGGTGTGGAGGATGCTGTGG